TAAACCAACTTGTAAATATCAAAATTTATGAAAATCAAAGAGATAGGCTGTGTTGTGTAATGTGTAGGGTTAACTGTTGTGAGTTTGGTCAACGATGAGGGCGCCAGTGCAAACAAACGCAAACTAAATATACATCAATGCAGTCAGTATCACTTTTAATAATCTGCAAACTCTGTTTAGTCTGGTGAATAAAGAAATACAAATATAACAATCAATAACAATGATTCGCTTAACCATGAACAACAACAATGATAATAATGGCATCAATATTGTTGACTGATAATCGTCTCAATATCATACAGTACAATCGTAATCAACGATAATGATTTAATCTAAATGTTAAACTATAATTCAATGGCGAGACACAAGTAACAGTACATGACTAACTCGTCATCCGTAAATGCTAATATTAGAAACACAGTACATGAGTTCACAGTAAACATTCAAACCTTACATGAATTATGGCGCACAAACTCGTGATCACAACCCTTCAATTCAATCAATGATCTCGTATTCTCGCTCATATAAGTTGACTGTAAAGCAAGTATCAGAATACATAATGTTAATTACTTTACTACTACTACAATGATTACTTTATTTACTACTGAGTTTACATATCAAAGATTATAATCGTCAAATTAATCATGAAACATAGTGAATAGTGGGAATTATAAGGGCGCAGCAATATTGTTTTGACACTTGACCTAATTGTTATGACCTTTCTACATCGTTTGACCTCGTAAGAAACTTGAGAATACAGTATAAGAAACTTGAGAATACAACGTGGTTCCACTGAACCTGGTCAGCGAGCTCAGTCTAACTTTCAAACTCAGATAATTATCTTGAATTATCATTAAAGATTCTAAAGTTTACCGATAAATGATCTTGAAATATTACTTAAACTAACAGAAATAACAACTTTCTACCAACATAATTTGTGAGCAGCAGCGACGAAGGATACCTGCTACTGCTACTGGCGCACTTAACAAAGACAATGTGTAGCGCCGCCAACGTTAATGTACTACTTATCTTGAGTTCGTTTACAGGCTGTACAAAAAAACCCCAATAGTTTGAAAAGTAAAATGTTTAAAATCATTATGCAAGAAAATAACAAATTTGCAAGCACTACAAAAAAATAAAATCATTAGATCAATAATGTGTGATTCAAATTCTATGAGAACTACGGTACACTGTAAACAAACGAGGGTGGCAGATTACATTATTATTGTTTTCAGTTATATATTTTAACAGTTGAATAACAACCACCAATTCGAGACCACTTTTCCAAATGCCTAAATAAAAATTTTTAATCTTTTAAACAAAAGCTAGCCCTCTAATTGGAGACCAACCCCGAGACCACCCCAAATTTTCAGGTCCCAAATGTGGTTTCAAATTGGAGGGAGAACTGTAATTCAAAATTGAACAAGAAATTAAGCAATAAAAAAATATTTAAATAAATTTGGTTTTAAATAAAATCACAATAAAATAATGGACAGGTTAAAAAACAAGTTCCAGCAATCCAACATCATAAAGATCAAAAGAAGAAAGTGTTTATGGCAGATATTGCATCTGTCACATCATGAAGATTAAAATTTAAAAATATGTTTAGGGTTGGGGTATTACTGTTTCACTTTAGTAAATCATAATGATATTAATCTATGTGAAATATTTAAAGCACTTAATGTGTGAAATTTAAAGCACTCTAATATCATCTCTGTAAAAGTTGAAGTACTCAAATATTTCTGTCTGTCCTTACATGATTATTTTTCAACCAGTGAAGTTTTTGAATTCCACCTCAGCATATCAAACAATGGCAGCAGAGTTCATTCATTGCAGGGAGAGAATAAGAAAAAGTTTGAAGCAAGTAGTGAACAAACATTGAGAATTCTAGGAAAAATATTGCAAACCTTGATAGTCTTTAAGAGGATCATACAACAAGTAGAGTACTGCAGAGTAGAACAGAACAAGAGGTGAGGAAATAACTAGAATAGGAGATTACACTGAATTTTTTTATTACATTCAGTTTTTTTCATTATTATTTTTTTTTTAATTTGAAATGCATTTATTTAATTTGTTTATTTATAATGTATTTTAATATCAAGTCAATTGTAGGTGTTGTACCAGCATAAAATCAAAAGCAATATGAACATTTCTGGGCACATTTAAAATTATAACAATAATTATTAACATATTTTTTCATTTTTTGAGCAAGAAAAAACTTCCTTTGTCTCAATATTAATTATAATAATAAATTGTAAAAAGTATCTGGAACACCTAATAGATGACTTGTTAAACTCTTTTCTTTCTATTTTGTTGATATCAGAACACAGATGAGGAGGAGGCGGAGCTTAGTATTTACTTTGTCATCTGGTTCGCCGAGAACCATCAGACATTTTCAAATATGTTTAAGAAAGGTATGATCAAATATTTGATTTGTTAGAAATCTTTATTCTGGATACTCAGTATTTTTACACTGTTCTTCCCCGAGGTCCAGGGTATTATTTGTTTGTTGATAAGAACTAATCATAGGGTCATTCTTGAGTGATCATGATATACAGTTCTCAATAATACATGATTACACACTATTGTGTACTGGATAACGGTAGAACTGTACTACAAAGCACAGACCCTATATATAGGGTCTGTGTACAAAGTAAGCCACAAAAATGAATAGCAATTATACTATACAGACATCTATACAGATTTAGATGATTTATTGTCAAATTATATCATGAAGAAATATAAAATGGAATTGGTTTGAATGCAGGTTAACATTTACAAATAAAGGTATACAACAAAAGCTAAGCTTGCTGTTAATCATATATAGTAATAACAATTATACTCTACATACATATCAGATTCAGATAATTTATAGTCAAAGTGTACATGAAAATCTATAAATTTATTAGGTTGTATAAAGATTAAAATTTATGATGAATGCAAAAAAAAGCCAAGCTTAACTACCTAAATCATATACAGTATATTCCTTTTTATGATGATGAAATAATAAAATGCTTACAAACCCCCTTTTAAATATATCCCTGTCCCACTACTTTGAATCAGATTATTTACGCAGATTCAAGTTTATAAGAAAAATTAAATATATACAAGAATAATCAATCTGACTCTAATTCATTCTGACTCATGACTTATTCATTTAATGGATGAATGCCCATAGGTGTATTTATAATATACACTCTGTTGTGTGCTTGTTAGGTTTTTTTTTTATACAAAAAAACAAGAAAAAATATACAGGTACTAACGAAAGAATAAACAAACTTGCAAATATCAAAATTTATGAAAATCAAGGAGATACAAGTTGATAGGCTGTACAAAAAGCCCCAATAGATTGAAAAGTAAAATTTTTAACATCAATATGCAAGAAAATAACATGTATATGCATTATATGATTAAAAACTTCAAATTTGACCAGCACTACACAAACTAAAATCATAAGTTAAGTGTGATTCAAATTTGATGAGAACTACACTGTAAACAATTGAGTTTGGCAGATTACAGTATTATTGTTTTCAGTTAAATAATCATAACTTCAGCTCTATATGTATGTCATATTCAATAATCAAATATTTAACAGGTTTATAATCATTATGCCAACTTTATTTTCATATTATTGTATTCAATAATTATTTTATGTTTAAGATCCATAACTTAACTCTATGTTGATGATATGAAATAATGGATATGTAGATATTCCTAAACTTATAAATTTGAATTGTTGAAAATACACAAGTTAAACAAGTGGACTGACAATATTTAATAATTGAATATTTTTACTGTTTTGCCACCATAATTTGCTACTGCAAGTCTCCTTGGATGATATGAAATGATGGATAATCCCCATGGATTGTTGATTCCATCTTCTGGTTTATCAATTCTTTTTATGAAATTTCCATCACTACTGAATAGCTGTAGTTTATGTTGACTTGATATAATGATGTTGTCATCCTCATCAACTATTACTGCTCTTGGAGAATTTACCTTACCATCCTCATCACCCGCTTCAACAAGGACTTTTATAAACCTTCCCTCATTATTAAATAATTGTAATCTACTGTTTCCATACTCCAATACAAGAAGGTGTCCTTGGTTAGTAAGAGTAACATCAATGACATCACTCATTTGACCTTCTTTTGTACCTTCTGACCCTATTGTTTTGATGGTCTTGCCATTATTCATGTCAAACATGTACACACAGCTACTGTACAAATCTGCTACATACAAAACATTTGATGTCTCATCCACATGAATACACCATGGTGCATTCAATGCTCCCTCACCAATTGTTTTAATCACCTGACCATTCCTATTGCATATTTTGATGGGTTTACCATTGCAATCAGTGAATGCTATGTTACCATTCTTCATTTTGTACATTCTGTGAACATGCACACCTTGTGGTAGTGTAACCTTACCAATATATTCTCCTGATTGCTTGTACTTAAGCATTTTATTTGTTGCACATGAAACCAGTAAGGAGTCATCTTTATACTTAACTACATCTCTAATATATTTTGCATTTATATGAATAGTATTTACTAATCTGTCTTCTACTTTGATTGTCATTGGTGATTGGTTAATTGGTTCATCATCAGTACTCACATCTAGTTTAAAAATTCCTAGACTTGTGCACTTTTCTGTCACAAAATAATCTCCATTTTCATCTTCCTGAATTTGAGAGCTTTTGGTGTCCCCTGTAGGCTGTGTCCATGTTGCCTTCAGTTGATTTGCATATATTTCATGTTCATCTGTTTTGATTATTTTGACAATAATTGTCTGATCTTTGATCACAGATTCCTCTCCTTCTAATTTTAAACAGTCTGCTACCCTAAAATCTTTTACAGTCCCTATAGCACATTGTCTCAATGAAGTCATTTGCCGTTTGTTTATGAAGTAGTAAAGTTCTCCATTATCACCTGGCTCTTTTTTTGGCAATTTGTTGATTCTGTCCTTCAGTGCTGTAATTATTGTTTCACTTGACTTCATTGCTGTGCCTTTATCACTTTTCAGTAATTGATGAAGAAAAGACAGTTTTGTATTTATATCAGATATTGTTGTTTTTAATTCTTCGATTTTTACATCATTTACCTTCTTTTTTCTTTTGTAGATTGTCTCTACTTCATTTTTCATTTTGTCTCTATTCTCCTTTACATTTTTGAATATTTCTTCAACATGATTGTCTATATCTCTCAAACATGTGTCTTTACTTTGGTCTAATTTGGTAGCATTCTGTATAACAGCTTTGAGACCATCTTCTAATTTGTTAAAAAAGTGTTGGGCAGATTTTTCCAAGGTGGCTGAAGTTTCTTTAAATGTTTGGAATGCGTCTGAAATGTTGATTGATTTGTGTTTTCCATCCCATGCATTGTGGTCCATAAGTATACAATGTACACAGATTGGAGTTTTACAATCTGTGCAGTAGAACTCCAAAGGTTTACTGTGATGTGAACACTGAGGTGGATGTAACAAAGTCATCTCAGAGGGGCTCATTGATTGCACATCCTCCATTAAATATAACTTGTGATTTGCAAAGAGTCTATAATTTGTATGATGATCACTACAAGTAGAGCACAAGTACTGTTTGCAATCCTTGCAGTAGTATTTTACCTGTCCTTCCTTTCCACAAACACATTTCATCTGATCTTTTTCAGAAATTTGTTCCATAGTTTCTAATAAGTTATTTAGAAAGGTATTTGGTGGAAGATTCTGAAGCCCGCCCTTTGGAATGGGATATGATTTTGAGCATGTTGGGCAAGTCAGTTCACCATTCACCTTAACCCAGTCTTCCAGACATGCCAAACAAAAGCTATGTAGGCAGGTGAGGGATTTCGGATTCTTAAGTCTCTTAAAGCAGATGGTACACTCTAACACCTTTTCATCAACATTTTCCAGAAACTGATTCAACTTGCTGGTAGCCATCTGGGAATAAAATCCTGTAAAATAAAAAAATATTTTAAAGTAATAATATACTTAGGCCTAATAATGTTACAGTGAAGTAATTATATCCTAATTTGAATATTATTTACTATTATTTCCAAGCTGCAACCTACAAGCTTATCAAGCACTGTAGCTCCACTATATGTGTGAGCATTTCAGTTAGATGTATCAGAAAAAGTGACGGTGGGTTTGATCTGTATATTTGTTTTATAGATGTGAAAAAAAATATTATTAACAATATTTCAGCATTGCTTAATTTTTAAAGTTTTTTTATAAGGCATAATTAGGTACTAAACTCCACACTTCTCTAATCACCTCGCTGCTCCAGTACTGTTTTACACTCTTCATTACCATCTCTAGACAATTCCTTGAATATTCCCTTAGATGCTAGCGAGAAAATTGTTTTATGAAATGAATGTTTCTCAAAGAAAGTTATTCTAACATTATTGTTTTATTTTGAAATGTAAAAACAATTTAAAATAATAAAATGCAGTCATAGGTTGGATTCACACTAGAGACCTATTATCCGTATCAGGAGTTAACCGTTAATACCAGAGTGGGAACGGCCAATGGATTAGCTTTAACCGTTACCAGGATCTGGATTCACCAACGGTTAGCGAGCGCTATCAGTCTGTTGCACTCATTATAAACCAATCACATGTATGCAATTCCAATTTTTAGTTTCCTACTGGCCAGTGATCCTATTATCTTGATAGCTGGATCAGGTATTTCCTAGTATGAACGGGTGAGCACGTCTGTTACTGGATCCTTCTAACTGTCAGCTGGTGTGGGGGTGTTTGTGTGTGTGTGCTCCAGTGAACCCATACCAACCGATGACACACCTGTGAAGACACACCTGTTTAGAGATGACATACTTGCAAGCGATGACGTCGCCAGTTCTCAAAATAGCTTTAAACAGCGGGAGCTCCCTCTATATACCCCCTGGTGAAATATCTGAGCTTTTCCTCAAAGGTCGCCGTTAGTTAGGAATTTTTTCAAGTTCATAGATAAGCAGCGGTATCTTGTGACATACTCGTACTCAGTTATGCAGTGGCCTACTCAATGTTATAGGGCTGTTGCTAAACATCCCTTGCTTACTCACAGATATAGCATTACACACATTTTTAACATAAAAAAATGAAGATAAACTATGTCACCACTTGTAAGGTTTTTTTTCAATGTCATTGGTTGTAGCTCCTTCACATGTGTGTGTGAGGGAACATAGCCCAGATAATGTAATATTACAGTATGGCAGTCCGCCATGTAATATTGTGTACCTGTAATGCTCATGTTGGTGTGCCCGATTCCAATGTATGTTCTGGATACAAAGACTGGATCTTCACTATTATTGTAGTGATATGACAAGCGAGATGGTTTACATTCAATAACTGAACTGACTACATCTCTTCTGGTTATAATGCAAAGCGTTTATTTACTATTCTACTGCATGATATATACAAGTAGGGTTGTGAGACATAGTGTTTCCTTCAAGGTATCAGAAGGAAGTCCTCTCTAGATAACTAATACTTTACTTTTCATACAAGCTTGGGGTGTGGTGGACTTTCTCTGATTGGTTGAAAGATATCACCTTATCCTAATCATTTGACTATTACATCATTTTGGGGAGTTTCTGTTGGTCAGATAATATAACAACTTTGGGGGTAGACATTAACTTATATTTAGTAATGAGCTGTCTCTCAATCAAGCTTATTTAATAAATCAAATGTAAGGAGTTGACCACTGGGGTTTTTGTCACGAATTGGCCATTGTCCTGTCAAAGACTTTATATAATATAATTAAGGAGACATTCAACAGGTGTCTAATGGGTTAGTGAGGTAAAAGTTCAGTTCAGTGGTATAGTTGAATTGGCCTATATAGTGTTGGTTATCTTAACACATAACAATAAACCTGTCCTCATATACACTATAGCCCTTATTAATGTCTCCTTAATAGGTGAGTCCCATGAGAATGCGTAGGCCGTAGTGTTAAAATATATACTCTCCACCTTTATAAGTTGTGTTCACTATGTGGTGTCCCCTCAGGGGTGTCCCAAATTAGGGTTTCTATTGTACTTGGAATTGTATTGATAATGTTTCTGTTGGAAATATTAGATTTTCAAGAAAAACAGAAAATTTATGTAAAGGGTTAGGAGGCAGTGGTGGCACCAGGATTTGCTGGGAGTAAGGTGGAAATGTTTCTGATGGGAATTAAGGCGGATTTCTGCAATGAAGTGGGTGAACTTGCATAGTATTTAGTACAGCCTTTTCTTTAAACAAGTATACTTTTAGCAACAAGCATATGTGGTAAAGACAAGCCAAACCAGTTGCTCGTCACAAATCCTGTTTCAGAAATATTGGCCAAAAAATGCTGGAATGCCAAATTTAAAAAAAATCTATTTTATTGCACTAAACTAACCTTTATGTATCCATACATCATGTGATTCTGTTATTTTCCCTATTTTCAATGTTAAAACAACAATTTTTTAATGATTTGGTGATTATTCTACCATAAACTTCTCAAGTATTTTTCTTTAAACAGGTATCATTCTTATCATAATAAAATTGTATCCAACTGGCTTGAATTAATTTTCATATTTTCTCACCTTTTCCTGTCAGCTTACTGAGCACCGCTTTGTATTCATTTTCATCGATGTACGTCATCCATTCATCTATGAACTCTTGCTGATGTTCCACTGGGAATAATATGTTAGCTAAATCTTTGATGAGCTTTCCACTAGAATGTATTTCCCATAGCTGCATCAAAGCATTAGGATCATTTGTTGATAGGTAAAATACTATTGATCCTTTCCCAACCTTGGTTAATGTTAGACCATAACGTTTGTAATAGATAATAAGTTTCTCAAACTTGTCAAAAAACTCTGGTATATCCTTTAAAGTTAGGGAGTCTTTATTTTCATCAAGTTCATTTAACAAATTAAGAGCATACTTTTTTATATGGTCGTCCTTCAGAATCACAGGATTCTCCTTTGCGTTTCTGAATTACTTTCACAGCAATTTCTTTCAAAATAAAAGATAAAATGACATATTTTAAATCTATAATTATTAAACAATCTAGCATATATAATTTATACTTTACATGGTCAGTAATCAACAATATCTGTACTGTAGATATAAAATGAGAATTATGACATCAGAGTTGTTTTGAGTAAACAGTATTGTCTTCCACAGTGTGGCTATGTTCACACACAAGCGTAAGGCTGGCGTAAGTCTGGCGTAGTGTACGCCCTTTTTGTGTGAACTAGGTAGTTGTTGCACAATGCTAGCTGAATAATCAGAGTAAAATTGTTCATTTAAAGTACAATCATCAAGTTCACTTTGAACAATAGGCCTAATCATATCAAGTTCACTTCAAACAATTCACATATTTAAAAGTGTTAATGATGCACTCTAAATATTTTACTAAAGTTGAACCCGTACATTATTATTTCAAACTGAAAACATTCCTCCATAGGCCTATATTATTACTAGTTTAATGCCAGCGTTATGGCGAACGTTTGTGTGAACGGTTTGGAATTTTAATTCATGGATTAGCTTACGCCGGCGTAAGATTCACTAGTCTTACGCAGTGTGTGTGTTAAAATATGGAGGCATAAAAATGTTCTTCAAGGTTAAATGAATAATAAAACAGTTGAGTAGCTTAGTATCATTTTAAATGTACTGTGGGGCAGACATTTTGTACCTGTTTTTTCATGCATTTCTTTTTGTTAAGTTTAAATTGTTAATTATTTCCTTCTTTCCTACATGAACTTGGAAAACAACTTTAGTTTTTGTGTTTTAATTATAATGATCAACCATACTTTATATGAACATGTATAATTACCTTCACTAAGGCTATGTCCAGAGTTCGAAGATGCATTTGGGATTTCTGTAAATAAAGTTAATTTAATATAATGCATTACAAATTCTGAAGGTAGACATAATTAAAAGTTTAGGGACAATGGTGTGTCACCATTGGGGGCAAGGGAAGTAGATCCTCAAGAAAGTGAGGAGGACAATTATTCTAAAATGTCAGCATGGGATTTTATGCCTTAAAGCATTGCCACTGCAATAAATGGAAGATTCATTAATGAATGAATCTCTTAATTTTCTGTTTAGTAACTCATAAAGCAATTCAATATTAAATATTATAATCATATCCATTTCTTGAGTCAACACCAACTGGAGCCTCATCTTGGTTGGGGTTAAGGTGCAAAAATTTAAGGAAATAGTAGGCCTCCCTCTAGATGGCTGGATGTGGACATATGTTTATAGTAAAATTCATTATCATCACCCATTTTACTCAGAATGAAGATTTCTTTTTATCAGCGATTTTCAGCAACCATACAGATCTATGATAATTTCTGTGATGTATTGTACCACAGGAAAATAGAACTTTAACTTTCTTTGATGTAATAAAGTTGCAAAGCAAATAATACTGCAGATTTTCACTATACCCTTGATCAGTTGTTCTCAAAAATAAGGGCCAGAATTTTTCATTGAATAAAAGTTTGAATTGCCAGGGCCAGAGATGATGGCACATAGTGCCCTCTGACCACCACAGTTGCATATCACTCAATGGGTCATCAGTATACAGTATTTCTTTACTGTTTACTGTTGCGATACTTCTTCTGATTTGATTGATTAAATTGCTACAATTTACGGGGCAATATATAGCCACTGGCAGTTAGCTAATGCATGATGGACTCTACATATATAGTCACACCAGATGACAATATTAATTTGATATAAAAATAGCAATTAACTTGAATACCTTCTGTTAAAGCTTCCACAGCATGTTGGAGTTTAAGGGAATTCAGTTTTTCAATGAAGGCATCCATTTTTCCTTCACAAATTACCCTGTTGTGCTCCAGATCCATAATCAAACTCCATGTGTCTGCATATTCCTTTACTGGTTTGTTATATATTGCACTGATCTTATTTACATCTTCATCAATCAGTACCATTCCAAGCTTCATTATTTTTCGTCTGTGATGTGTGAATTTTGAGATTTCTACATCCTCAACATTTTGAAATACTGGCAGTATATCTTTGATCCCTCTTTGCTCTGTTACATTTATGGTATCATAGAGAACATTGAGATTAGCTGAGTGAAGATGTCCAGAAGCAGTTAACATATCCATTAATTCCATCACCTTTGTAGCCTTATTCAACTCATAATTGTTTTTCAAAAGTTCTCTGTACAATACTTTCAGCATATTTGTGTATTTACGTTGATCATACCATTTTGAAATATCTGACAACAGCTCTCTGAAAGCATCATCATTGATTTCTATGAAATTAACAAAATAGAGATTTCATAACCGATGGTTCATAAATACCCATTATTTACAGTAAATTGAAAGGTATTTAAAAGAAAATGTCCTTCATTTCATTATTTATTTGATCTAATAAACAATAATTAAACAGTAATTAGAAAAATGGGTAGGGCCAACCAAAAAATAAATTAAATTAATCATGAGAAAAAAAAACTTACACAAACATAGAATTGTCAAAATGAAGATGATCTCTAAAACTGCAAAATTAACTAATGGTCTTGAAAGCTTATCTTAAACTAGTGGATGTCAGTTGCCTAGAATTATTGTGTGAGGGACAAATTGCTGTAGTTTAAATATTAGATAGCCCACCAATCAAAAATAACAAAAAAATAATAATATTATCTCAGAGCCAATGACAATAATTATAAATTCTCCTAAAATGCAAGTCATCTTCTTATAGTCGTAACCCAGTCTTCTAGACAAATATGCTAAATAGTTGGAGAAAGTTGAGGGATTTTGGATTTTGAAATCTCTAAACGCCTTTAAAAACTGATTCAACTTACTGGTAGCCATCTTGATATAAAATCCTGTGAATTTTAAATAATTTAAATAATTATTAATTAATTTGGAATGGATACAAATAATGATTTTAACATGATACAGTATATGTGCTGACATAATAAGAAGTATCAAAGTTTTTTAGAATAAAAATCTGAGTGCATTTTTAATATATGAGCTGTTTTTACAGATCTATATTAAACCCTGCATTGTCTGAATAGGCTCTTCAGTTTCCATACATTATATTTTTTATTTCAGAGAAGTTTTAAAAATTATCCCTGTGGCCATGCAGAAAAAAATTGTATTTATTTAGGCTTGAGAGTGGAGCTAATTTATTGGTCAGTTCAGTTGTAAACTATCTTTGTATACTACATTGTATCCAACTGGTAATTGGTTAATTGTAAGACTATTGCTAATTATGTATGCATAAGCTCTTTTCTATTTGGTTTTCAATTTTTTACTTCACACACCTGATGAAGCTGGCATTGACTGCCAGCGAAAGCTTGTGTTTAATAAATAACATCTAAGTTAGTCTCAGAGTGCTGCCTTTTAATTTTCTTTGTATGTTGTAAACTATGAGTGAGTTGTTAGCATGTATGCACAGTGATCATCTGTCTCAAAACATAGCAATTGTGATGCTGATTGTCTCTTGAGGCAGAATTCTTACTAAAAATTATACACACATTTGCTTAGCAAACCCACACAAAAGGCAATTTGATAAACTGGTCTTGTGTTTGCTGGGCTTAAAGGTAGCAATCATTATGGTAAGCAATCTGTAAAATGAATGTAGGAAATATCTATTGTGATGTAAAACATTAAGTATTTCTTCTCTGTGTAAATGTGGAGCTAATTGAAAGAATAGATTATATGCCTACTACTTTATTTACCATGTTTTTCACACTTCTTATCAGCAAGTAATAAACATAATTTCTTTGCAAGTAGACCCTTATTACTTGTATCTTATTGTTTTTTTTCATTAACAATCCTATCTTATATAGTAATATTTACTGCATATATCTATAATAATGATATATAATCTTTTAATCATTGTTTGGTTTATTGGTGTGTAGTAGGCCTCTATACTTTACAAATATATTTGTATAATGCTGGGACATTCTTCAATGATATTTTACTAATAGGTCAATAATATTTTGATTCAGTATTTTCACTTTTTTTTTATCATTATGTTAAGCATTGGATTTAATACTAAACAACATAAATTAATGAAATATTTACCTTAAAATTCTTTGCTTGGTTATTCAGTGAGGTGCATATTATATGTGAAGTGTCTCCAATCAGGAAATGGGTGTTTTTCAAGGGTTTGCTCTGTATCTTTATGTGATTTGGTTAAAGCTGTTTCTTTGTGTGTCTATCAACCAACCATGACTTCGTAAAGCAGACTGAGAACTATTCAATATTAAAGTAAATTGTTATTTAATACAAAGTACATTCAGCATGTGACCCCATTTCATTGTCATCACTCTCGCTATATCAATTCAAACATAAAAGTACCCCAATGGAAATAGGTCTTTGGACTAACTTGCCAGGTTATTATTTGGATTTGTGTTTTTGACACCAAAGAAAATTAATCTACCAACTCCTTTTAATCCCGTTTTTTCCCTCTTTTTTTCTTCATACCATCTCCACTGTCTTCTGTTCTATTCTCTTCCTTTTTTTGCTCTACTTTTTCTCCTCCTTTCCTTCCTTCCTCCCCTTCATTTCTACTGATTTGTTTCTTTCCATCTCCTCTTTTTAAGCTGGTCAATATTATTAAAAGAAGATAATATTTACACTTTTTTACGAAATGAAAACCATGTATTTATGAGAATAGAAAGATTTTTTTTTTTTTTTTGAATTACGTAAAAGAAAATGAATCAATAAACAATTATAGAATTTGATGAATGAGAAGAATTCATATTGAGCTTTGGTTGAAATTATGCAGAGTTCCAGATTTGTTAACCATGAAACTATTAATCATGAGGCAAAAGTTTCCTTAGCAGAAATGATCCATAGTGAGCTGTCAAATGGTCTTCAGAGGGAGCTGTTAGCAGCTCCATAAACTTAACTTTAATTGGTTTTAAGAATGTCCATTGAAAGTTAACAAGAGAGTCCTGGCCAGCAACATCAGAATGTAAACAAGAAACCCATTACAATCACTCACTTTATCTTGTGGGCTTCACTGGCAATAAATAATTTAAGAACCCATCGCTATTCAACAAACCAACAGGATTTATAGCCCAAGTTTTTTCCAAAAGTCGGGTGCCATGTACCAGTTCTGTTAACAGCCAAAAATGCAGCATGTGGACTTATTTACTTGTTTTCTCCATGTATACTGTATACTCACACAAATATATCCCCCACTTGCACACACTGTGTGGTACAGTGTGCTTTTACAAACTCTTGCCATTCTTGTATTTGAACATTGGTGATAGATATTAATGCAACACATCCACACACAACCATTAGGAGATGCCCTCATACCCACCCGCCATGTACTCACACACATTGACACACACAGACACACACAAACACACACACATCAACACTTAATAGATGACTGGTTATAAACTCTTGCCTTCTTTTTCCTTGATTTCAGAACACTGAGAAGGCAGAGCTTGTATTTACTGTGTGATGTGGTCTGCTTGTCATTCCAATGAGAGCCATCAGACATTTCCAAGTAAGGTATATACTAATCAGTGTACTGTTTGTTCTTCTGAGATTAACTTTGGGACTTAAAAACATAAAGTGTGGTCTCAGGGTTTAGAGGTATGTTTGTGATAAAAAAAGTGGTCTTGAAGTAGAGGTCCATGGTCTTTAATTGGAGAGCAAACTATACTCATGCTTGAGTAATCATGAGATACACTTTTCTATGTTACATGGCCACAAACTACTGTATACATTTAGTTGGTAACAGTAATTAGAACTATACTAAACCAAGCCACATATATGTATTCAGACTCAGATAATTTATTGTCAGAGTATACATGAAGAAATATGCAATAAAATTGGTTTGAATGCCGGTTAACATTTGAACGAATGCAAACAAAACCTAAACTAAATTATATAATAATTTATGGCTGAATAATAAAAACAGCCTGCTTAGCCACCCTCTTCCCACCCCTGCCTTTATACTCTCCCTGTCCCATAAGTTTAAATTAGATTATTTGGCAGAATCACATTAACGATTAAAATTAAAATTTTGATAACATGTTTAAGGCCTAGGTATTAATATTTTTTTACTTTAGTAATCATAATAATATTAATCTGTGTAAAATATTTAAAGCACTTTAATATTAATCTGTAAAATGTAATGCATTCTAATATTAATCTGTGTAAAAGTTAAAGCACTCTAATATTTTTGTCTGTCCTTACATGAATGTTTTTCATCCTTAGGCGAGTTTTTGAATTCCTACTCAGCATATCAAACAATGCCAGCTGAAGTCTAGTATTGCAGGGAAGAATAAGAAAAAAGCTGGAAGCGAGTAGTACAAACGAACATGGAGAATGCTAGGAAGAATATTGCAGACTTTGATAATCAAATGGTGCAACATCAATAGGATCATAGAAGTAGAGTGCTGCAGAGCCAAGGAACAAGAGGTGAGGAATTATCTAGATTAGGAGATTACATAATTTGTTTTTATTATTACATTAGTTTTTATCCAATATTATTTTATTTGAATTGTACTTATAATGTATTTTAATATGAAGTAAATTGTACCAACAGTTTGAATCAATTATACTGTACATACATCTATTCGGATTCAGATGATTTATAGTCTAACTATACATTAAGAAATTTAAAATACAATAATGAGTGAATGTAAGTAAAATCTACTAAATATTTATACTGTATATTAATTTCTCTGATGGCTAAAGGAAAAAACATCCTGATCAGCCTTCACCCCTATAAGTCTGCCCCAGTCCTGCCATTTTAAATCACATTATTTGGCAGAACCAGGTTTATAAGAATAATATTGAAAATATATATATACATCAGCTAGTCCCTGGGCATTGGAGTATTACTATGTAAACTACAGATATATACAAGAATAACAAAATGAGTGATTTGATGGATTATATTTAGAGCAAAAAGAATCTTCCTTTGTTTTCATGGGTCTTGTGATTATTGTACTATTTCCATGTATTTCTGCACCTTGGTTCGATCAGTGAGGTACTGTATACAGTATATGGATGTGCAGTATCTGGAATTTTCATACACTATTTGAATGTTAGTCACTTTGTAAGTTATTTTTAGGCAGAAGGTGGGATGGCCAAGCTATTTTTCTCTATTAGTTTCTCTCAAATTTACTTGTTACATCATAATTATACAGCTTTGAAATGTACACATGTGCATAGACCGAAGACACAAACATCATTTTTCCACAAACTTTAATATCAACATACTGTTTATATCATGCTACAATAAAGTTAAGAATTCTTGCAGCATTATTTTACAGTTTTGACAGGGAAGCATGGCGTAGATACAGACATTATTTGTACCCAAGATTGTATCTATATTTTCATTATATCCAGTATAATCACATACAATAAGTTCAGTCATTGCTACATTATCATTTCTAATTTATGTAATTGTTCTTCATCTAAATTTAATTTTTCATCTAGAAACCCCTTGACAGTGTCATAAAAAAGGCAAAACAAAATGTTATGGTCAACGTGCCTTTTCTTTTCAAGCCTGTTTTACATAAAATTCATTGCTGCTTTCAGTTCGCCATTTACCTTATTTTTTCTTCTTTTAAGAAAAATATAATATCTTGTTTATTACAGGAATGTTAACTTGACCTATTTCCTCATTTAGCGCCTTTTTTTAATTGGTCAGTGCTAGTCTATATTATTATTATTATTATTATTATTATTAATAATAATTATTATTCTTTTTTTTTTTAAATTATTATTATGTTACTAAAACCTACCTTAAGGGGAGCTTAGACAATGGAGAATGTAGAGAACAATTAAGAAAACAATGCTAAGTGGAAATTAACACAAAAGATATTCCCCTTAGTCAGAGTTAGTGCTAGTTATTATTATTATTATTATTATTATTATTATTATTATTATTATTATTATAAACATGGCATAGATACAAATATTTTTGTACACAAGTGTGTATCAAAATTTTTGTTTTATCTAGTATAATCATGTGCTACAATAAGTTAAGGTTAAGTACAGTAATTGCTATAATACATCCATGACACACCCTATTTGTACACAACATTTATATATTTTTAATTAAGTATTACTTTATTGGGAAGTAAGCTTGATATAATATATCATTATCTATTCTAATATACTTAAATGCTACAATAAAGGTGAGTCATTCGTGCATCATAATTATTGACATGTGCAGATGACAGACACAAACATAACCAATCAATCTAGTGTAATTTTACATGCTACAGTAATAAGTCATTGCTGAATAATACCTGTAAAGAGGGCATAGACATTATTTACAAAAGATATTGTTTCAATATTTTTATTAGTATCACATGCTGGAATGAAGTAAAGTTATATTATTACTTCACATGACAAACACTATTTTTACACAAGGTTTATAATAATTATAATACATAGACATAAACATTTGTACACTTAGGTACAGTAGGTAGTACACTATCTAACTTCTAAATATTTTTGTTATAATATTACATGCTACAATGAATAATGTGAAGTCAAAAGTTTACACATGGTTTACATCACCTTCAACACAGGTACACATGACAAACATTATTTCAAGGTTTATATTATTATATATAGACACAAACATTATTTGTACACAAAATACTATCTAACTTCTCAATATTTCTGATATAATATTACGTGCTACAATGAATAAAGTGAAGTCTTTAAGTTTACACATAGATTACATCACCTTCGCATGACAAACACTATTTGTACACAAGGTTTATATTATTACATATAGATACCAACATTATTTGTACACAAAATACTATCTTCTCAATATTTTTAATATAATGACATGGTACAATGAAGTTAAGTCATTAAGTTTACATCAAACTTTTAACAGCCACACTTGATAAACTTTTTGTACACAAGGTTTATATTCTATATATATTTAGTGCATATAATACTGACATTTAAACTGACTTGTTATAGACATAAATATTATTAGATAAATACATAGACATAAATAGACATTTATTTAATAGATATTTTTACACAAGATAATATCGAACTTATAGCAGCATTTTTAATCAAGTTAGATTCATAACCGTGGGACTGACATTCAAATGTGTGCACTAACTTATTTTTGAGTTAATGGAATATAAACAAACAAACAAGACAAATCAGATTAAAAGTGCACAAGTAGCTCAAGTCTAACTGGATTCACAGGCTGTACTGTATATTACCATCATGTATACAGCAATTTGCCGTTTTTCCAAAGAAGTAAATTTGTCCAGTATCATCTGGCTCTGTTTTTGGCAGTTCATTATTCTGTCTTTAAAGTGCAGTAAATTAATGTATTGCTATAGCTGCATTACTGTTCGATAATAATTGATAAACTTAATGTACTCTATTATTTCAGATATAGATGCTTTCAATTCATCTAATTGTATATCTTTTTTCTTTTGTAGATTTTCTTTACTTTTTATCTGTCTGCTCTCTTTTTTCATCATTTCCTTTACATGATTGTCTATATCTCTCAAATTGTGTCTTTTACTTTGTTTTAATTTTTGTAGCTATGTAGATAACAGCTTTGAGACCATTTTGTATTTTGAAGAGTTGGGCAACCAAGGTGGCTGAAGTTTCTTAAATGTTTGGAATACATCAGAAAAGTTGATAATTGTTGTGTTTCCCTTCCCATTCATTGGGGTCCATTGGTGGTCAAGATTTTATAAAAGAAAATTATTTAAAGCCACCCGCCACATGGCGCCCGGGATGCCTACTCTTTGGACTAAGCCTACAATATATGCAAGGATTTTTTTATAAAACATTCTTGGTTCATTGTAATCCATACCTTACACGTTCACATAGACCTAATAAGGTAAATTTGTATATCAACAGATCATCCATCTCAACAGAAAATGATATTAAGCATGCCAGACAAGTCAATTAGGTTGCTAAGAGTATTACCTATTATATAGATATGTCAATATATACATGTAGGTCAATGCAGTACATAGGTATGCATAAAATGATCCAGTGGCAAATGCAGGAACATGAAATAGAGGGGGCCCATGGGGAGAGAGTTTGCACCACCTCAGCCCCACCGTTGTTGGGGCTGAGGCAAGAAAATTTTTTACTATGACATCTTGAGATGGCTGGAAATTGCACTCTCCAACCTGAATTTAGTTAAATTTTTTCTCTTTTCTCCATTTTATTCAAAATTTTGAAAAATTAATTGGGGACCCATGCCTGCCTCCCCCTCCCCTCCAACCCTTGAATCCACCACTGTGTACATATCGTACAGTAGAGATGGCCTAATTGTTATTTACAGTATACATATATTATTCTCTGTTTACTTAATATATTATAGGTCAATTTTTATTTAGAAAAATTGTAGAATGGTAGCAAATTCAGCAATACTAATGCCACATAAAGTTTTTTGCATTCTCTGCAGGCAGTTAGCCAGCTTTGCCCACAGCCTATACAATACAGCATGCCAAAAATAGTCAAAAGAATATCCAGCCCGCGGGCACCGCAGGTGAGCTTGCCCACGTCCACTGGCCGTAGTTTACCCATGGCCACAGCGTTAAAAAAAAGTGCACTGCCCGCGATGGGTACTGTATCAATTTACACAGACTGGAGTGGCTGATCAATATTTTACCATAAAAGATGGATTCTTATCGCTAATAATCTTTTGTTAATCACTAAATTTTAAGCAATTGCTATGAAGTTGACAACAAGAATAATTGGTATAAAAGTACTGCAGTACAGACAGGGTGCATGTAAATGTTAATTCTATCACAACACATTGGTATAGATTAAAGGTATTGTGGCTGAAATATAGACTTGAATTCTTTAAATTGCTTGCTAATTTTAGACATTTCAATAAAGCTTTAGGCCACAGAAATTTTGAAGTGGTGGTGCCAGTGGGGGAGCAGGGGCCCTGTCAAGGAGAGCTGCTCCCTGCCCCCTCCCCCAACCCCCAGTAAAACAGTTTATGAAAAGATATGACTGACAGGTATTCTCCAGACTTAGGATGTGCTAAGGCAGGAGTGGATGGTTGACTCTTAAAGACCTAGCGGTGTTTGCTACCACGCCTCATTTTGTTGTTAAATCATTATACTTTTTGTTTTATAATTTGGTGCAAAGTACATATTGGCACTATGCAATAGGTAGTATATAAATGTAAATTAATATTATAAATAAGGTGATTGTTGTGTTCCTATATGTGGACAGAATGCTAGAAACACAAACCAAAGAGCACTACATTACATTAAAGCCATGATGGGTGTAGGTGTAGCCGCAGAACAAAATAATTAATCATAGAACTCAACACTTTAAATACTAAATATAAATTTATATTCTCTCAACGATTCGTCTTGGCGTATTTTAGATGGAGGTGGTTTATTAGGAGGTGGGGATGTTGGTGGTGGGCGTGAAGATTTAGGAGAACTCACTTTGGAAGACCGATGTTTACGTGATGTTGAAGCCGATGTCTGTTTGCGGACAGTCAGTGTCTCATTGCGGAACTCTAAATCCTCCAAGCGCTGAGTCATTGCTAGTTTTTGCTGGATTGCCATTCGGAGCAGTGAGTTCAATGTCTTCTTCTCTTCCTCAGCTGAGAGTAGCTGTCGTTGGTATTCGTCCAACTGGGTGACGTACTCATCACAGCGGCTGGCAAACATAGCACGTAGCGTGGTGTACGTTGCAGAGTCCTCCTTTAGAGCCTTCAACTCTCCGCGTAGTTTCATCATCGTTTCCGCAATGATTTGCTTCTCACTTTGGTACTTACTCTTGAGATTTGATAATGCAACTTTAGCAGTGGTTTTATTTGCTTTCAAAATGGTACGCAGAGTTGCAACCTGTTCTCGTTTGGTAGTCAACAATGACTTAAGCTTCACCACTTGCTTTTGCAAGTCTTCATTCTCAGTGCATCCGACATCGTTATTTTCCATTTTCATATATATGCAATACTGTACCTCAACATTATGCTCTACTGACTGTTTCAAGTTGGCTGAAGCTTCTTCAAATGTTTGAATGCTCATTGATTTGTGTTTCCCTTCCCATTGCTTGTGGTCCATAATTGTATAATTCACACAGATTGGAGTTTCACAATCTGTGCAGTAGAACTCCAAAGGTTTACTGTGATGTGAACACAGAGGTGGATGTAACAAAGTCATCTGAGAGGGGCTCATTGATTGCACATCCTCTATTAAATGTAACCTGTGATTGGCAAAGAGTCTGTACTTCTTATGTTGATCACTACAAGTAGAGCACAAGTACTGTCTGCAATTCTGGCAGTAGTATTTTACCTGTTCTTCCTTTTCACAAACACTACATTTCGTCTGATCTCTTTCTGTTTTTCTACACTCTAATACATTCTCATCAACAGCTTCCAGAAATTGATCCAGCTCACTGGTAGCCATTTGAACTGAAATCCTGTGAATTTATAAAGGTTTTATTATATTATAAACCACTACATCATCAGTTTGTTATACTTTATATCTCAAAATGCCTCTGTGCAAGGTATTGAACATAATATCAAAATCTGTGAGTGCATGCTAAAAATTAATGGACCAATTTCTGCAAAAGCTTGGGGTATGGATTTGAATCCCATATGAAAAATGTACAAGAAAAAGAACTTACTTAAGAGTCAAAATTGATGAGAATGGTTTATGCAATGCATGCAGTATGAATATTACTAATGTGCAGGGGTGGTACTAGTGAGAGGGGGTACAGGGAACCAAGGGCGCAACCAAAGGATGTCAAGAGGGTTCTTACCTCCCTCAAAAAAAAGAAATGATTATAGTAGTAAAGGAATGATCGGTAATGTGTAAAAGTATGATATATTATACAGAGTAACTGGTGACCCTTGCCTCTGTTGCCAAAAGCCAGCACATACGCAGTGTCACCTATAAATATAATGTTGTGCGTACAATAATTAATTCAAGTTGAAAAATTAAATATTTTGTTACAATCATGGTAACACTCTGGTTTCCCTTTAATATCGATGTAGCAAATGAAAACACTAATTTATTACAGTATTATTTGGTATAATCAGGGAAAAGTGCAATACTATTAAAGAAAATAATGAGAGGCGAATTCAGGGGGGCTGAGCTGGCCTGAGCCCCCTAATTTTCAAAATTATAAATAAAGTTGAGAAAAAAGGTTTGAGGGTGCCATTTCCGACCTTCTAGACATACCATAATCATAAATTTAATAAACTCATTCCCAACTATGGGGAGGCTTAAGTGTCTACATCTACACCTGTGAAAGTCCTCTGGGCCTTCTCTATTTTAAATGCTTACAGTATAGTAGGTAATGAAACACCATGCCTGCTTTTAAGACCTATTTAAAGATAGGCCTTCATCTGAGCTTCATGATTATAATATAATCTTTAATACCCTTTGTTGGTGGAAACCAGGGAAGTGTGAAGTCTCGTACCAAATTTATTTTCTAGTTTACAATTTTTTTTTTTTTTTTTGGTAGAGGTTTTATAGAAATGAAGTGGTAAAACCTCTCAATTCTATCTTTTATCACATAAAATACTCTAACTCAAATTTTCTGGGGCCTTCGACCTCTGGACCCCTGGACCCCTTTCCGGTGGCCCTTGTCTCCCCGTTGGCCCCAGTCTAATTGCTCGCGCTTGCAAGACTTGACCCTCACTCAAGCACAGTATTTTGGGAAGAATAAAAAATTATATGTACTTTCTACATATTAGTAGGTTCTACAATTGATTTAGAATGCCTTTGAAACCCCAAAATTGTTAACAGTTTTCAGGCTTTCAAATGTTTTTAGCAACACCCAACCAGGCTCTCTTTGTTCTTGTCAGCGACATCACCCTTCTCCCGTCTGGGACCTCGGAATCCCATCGGACAAATCCTGGTCCCAGCCCTGTCGATGTTCGCTTACAGGATTCAGGGGAGAAAATTCTGGTTTATTGCTTAAAGGTGTCAAAATATATAGTTTGATGAATTTTTCTTATTTTGAAACTGCTGTAGTTACTGTTGATACAAAAAAAAATTGTCCCCTAAATTGAGGTTATTTGACTATTTTGCAAACTCAGAAAGTGTCCCCATTTCCTTAATATGGGTCACAGCTTTAGTCTTAAAAGAAAAATATGGTATTCCCCTCATTTCATGAAGTGTCCCTTGAAGAGGGCTGTCCCAAAGGAAGGGTACTACTGTAATAAGAAAAAAATATTTTGAACAACAATAATGCAAGTCAATAATATTTAGTTTAATAAAGCTAAAAGTTAGTAAGAACTTTTTTAACCACAAAGACAAAGGAAGGTTAAATAATTTGGCAGTATTAAGCTTGCTGAAGAGAATGTCTAGAGACTAGAACTGTCACTAGAGGCTAGTGGTTAGTAACTGCTCTCATGCGTGATGGCCCAAGGATAAGCATAGACAACATGTAAATGATGAATACTAATTCTCTGATGTGATGCAAGTATTCTGGATTTTTTTTATGTATAATTCATCCAGATTGAGGTTTGATAGTTGCAACCAATTGGAGGTTAATTTGTATCATCATTTGCCTTTTTTTAAGTATTTGAAGTGTAATCATTAATTTGTTTTATAGCCCGCATATACGTACATTAACATGTATTAGTAATGTCCTGTGAAGCAAAATAATAATTAATAATGATTATTATTATTTTCAAGTTTATTGATTATTAATAATTGATATAGTAGGCCTATAGACCTCTTTTAGAGTTAGCATAGCAGAAACTCGAGAGTCTATTGTTAGGCAAATGATTTGCAGTGTATTTTCAAAATACTCAGGAGTTTGGGATAATTGTAATATTTTGTTTATAACCAGCCTTTAATTCAGGTGGATCTTAAATTGCCTGGTGTCTTAACGCCATCGGAAAACATTATGTTTATCTTATTTATACGGAGGAGTGTTTATTTTCTGTTCATTTTTATGTTTATGGTTGTTTTTGCTGTCTTGAAGAGGGGCAACAGTGACGGACTCGTAAAAGTTTCTATGTCGTCCCTTGACCTTTTTTTTTTCATTTGTTTTATTTCCATGCATGTTTATATATGTTCGAATAAATGTTGTTGAAATGAAAATGAAATGGAATAGCATTGCAGTACCCGCTGCTAATTGGATTCATCCCCATCCACCAAGTGCAAGCATGCTGGTCAAGAGGCTAGTTATCTGTAGGTCATGGGTTCAATTTCCCCAGCATTTGGGAACGTACTGAGCATCCAGTACTATACCCGTCACAGGAACGGATTTCAAGGGGGAACCGAGCCAAACCCCCCCCCCCCCCTCTGCCCTGTCACACTTATTAGTAAATAAAACAGAAAAAAGGAAGAAAAGAAATTACTGATTGCCCAAAATGCCTCAAGGGGTATTTCCAGCATCTATAAAACAAAAATTTCATGGTGGCATGCTCCTGGACACCATGTATCAGCTAATTTTTATAAAAATAGATAAATTATAATTTGTTTATTATTTTTAATTTTTAATCGATTCCTAGTGTGTGTGTGTGTGTGTGTGCTGTCTCTTATACACATCTAGATGTGTANNTATATATATATATATATATATATATATATATATATATGCTACTGTATAGTATAGTAACATTTTTCAAATTTAATTAATATATTCACATGTGTTGGCCTTCCTCAATGGTACCATGCAGGTGCTTCTTGAATGGTACATACTCAGCAACAAAATATTTGATTCAGTATTTTTTTCTCAATTATTATGTTATCTGTTACATCTACACTATTGTACTAAACAACATAAGTTAATAAAATATTTACCTTAAAATTCTACGTTCAATCCTAGATATGCAAAGAGACAGATAGTATAGTAACATTTTTCAAATTTAATTAATATATTCACATGTGTTGGCCTTCCTCAATGGTACCATGCAGGTGCTTCTTGAATGGTACATACTCAGCAACAAAATATTTGATTCAGTATTTTCTTTTATTTTTTTCTCAATTATTATGTTATCTGTTACATCTACACTATTGTACTAAACAACATAAGTTAATAAAATATTTACCTTAAAATTCTACGTTCAATCCTAGATATGCATGAAGTGTCTTAAATAATAGAAGTGGGTTTTTCCAGAATTAGTCATGTGACATAGGCTGGTTTCTTTAGTGAATGCAATCAAGCATGTCATGAAATCAGTCATGCAGTATTTTAGTACTGTATTGCATTCAGTGTTGTAGCTTATCAATCCAAGTCGAGCTTTTTCTTTTAAGCAATCTTTCCCAATTCACCACCAGAAGCACTCTAATGGAATTACATACTTTAAAAAAAAATTTAAATCACCATTTATATAAAGAAGGTGGGTTCTAGAAATATCAATACCTCTACAATGCACATACTGTAAGCAAACGTCAAATTTAGACTGAGCAATCAGACCATGTAAGATGAACCATTTGATTATTTTCTTTTATGCTTCGGGAAAAAATTGAATTTTTGTAACCTTTACCTTGTACTTTGACTTTTTCTTACCAAAATTTCATTCACTCATTCATTCATTCTGGTTTTTATTTAAAAAAATTGACATTGCAGTACAAAACTGAATTGAGTCAACTTACAATATTAATAAAATCAATCATTAAAAAAGCACATATAAAAATACATAAAATATACATCCACATACTCCATGGTCATAATATCATTAAAGGTTTTTGACATAATTATTTTAATTACGAAAAAGGAGCAATATTGCGGTATTAAAAAATTTATTCATCTGTTTCCTCGTATATTGTGAACCATTATTACCATCTATTCATTAGTTTTTGCTTAACCATGCCAAGAGTCGGAGAGCGGTGAATGCATAACTTCCTTTGGCGGCGGTAATAAATTTGATACAAACTACATTAAAATGACCACAGTACAGTACTGTAAAACCTCGAATTGTAGCCCATATGGGCCCATACCAAGCCAATACATGTCTGTCACAGTCTGAGAGTGCCATTTTCGGCCATCCAGAGGTTGACATTCTTTAAAAAAATCTCATTTGGGAGGGGGACCCCCCTCTCAACCCCTTCATCCAGCTCGAGCCTACGAGCTCAAGTCCCTGTCGGACAACTTAGCCCCCACCAGAAAATATATCCTAGAGCCGCCACTGTTATTATAAACAATTTCCTTTCTCTTTCTTTTTCTTTGATATTAGAACACCAATAATGAGGAGGCGGAGCTTAGCATTTACTGCGTGTCATGTGGTAATGGTGGGATGTTTGTACTGCACCTTCCACAATAAAATCGTCTCAAGGCACCGAAAAAAGGTAGGACCATGAAATATAAAAAATTAAATTATATTATATCTTATATTAATGAGCCTATATTAATCAGAATATTTTTTTCATTTTATTTATTATAAGTTAAATAAATATATAAATAAATGAATAAAGTAAATAAATAAACAAACAAATAGAAAATAAATAAAAATAAATAAATAAATAATTGATAAATTAAGCCTTCAAAAACAGGCAGACCAAGAATGGAAAAAAAAATTGTCAATGCGACAAAAGCCATCAAACATATTCAAAGATGTTTTAGTAAGGTACAATGAATTGTTTGGTTTATTTGTTAATGAGAACTTAATCATAGAATTCATGCTTGAGAGACCATGAGATTTCTATGTTGCGACAGAAAAATACAAAATTACTGCTGTAAAACAATACATTAGAACAAAGTACACCAAATGGAATGAAAAATTACTTCTAATGACTTTTAAATGTTTGAAAGGGTGTGCTCCTCCATATTTATCCTCAAAATTTACCTTTAATAATACTACCCATTCTCAAGGCACACGTAGCCAAACCCATAACAATTTAGTTGTCCCCACTTGGAATATTTCCCATGGCAAAAGAACCTTTACTTACCGTTCATCCAAAAGCTGGAATGAACTTCCAAATGAACTAAAAATTAACTTTAAAGAAATGTCAATTCATACATTTAAAAATTTCCTTATTACACAAGATTTGCATTGAATTTTCTCTATGACTGATTTTTGTTTTTATGTTTGTTTATATTTTTTATTTATAAATTTGATTCCTTTTATAGTATCCTGTTTTTAAGATATCTACTGTACCACTTTGAAAATCAGTGCACTAGTACTGAAAGTGCCTGCAGTATAAAGAAAGAATAAATAAATAAATAAATAAATATTAATTAGCAAATAAAATTGTACTCTACATAATTTTTTTTTTTCAGATTCAGTGACATAACATTTATTGTCAAAGTCTACATAAAGAAATACAATGAAACTGGTTTAGACTACAGTAAACAGCAGTAAATGAATGAAAAATGTAGGCTTAACTACTGAATCAAATAATGGAATTATGAATATTTTCTGATTTTCAAAGATGAAGGATTTTTTTATCAGTGTGTAAGTGCGTGAATGTTCTGTAACATCTGCCAAACAGCATTAGAGAAATATAATAATTTACCTGAGTGGGATGGGTCATGATTTTTCTATTTTTGTGATGAGTTCATTGTACACATTTAGTTGTGCAATTGCAATTGTATTAAATGCATGCTTAACAATATTATTAGGATGTTTTTGCTCATCATCATGTGAACTCCGTACAAAACCAACACATAAAAGGACTAATAATATGCCAAATGATTTGATCTGTGTAAAAAGAAATTGCACAGCTGACCTTTATACACACTTGCATTCTTGTTCCTGTCATTTTATATCATATTTGAAGAATCAGGTTTTTAACAGATTAAAATTTATATTTTGTTTGGGCTAGTTTTATAAACCATAAATATATAAAAGAATAATCAATGGCTCAATGATGTTAGTCATTTAACAGATATGATATGTAGTTAGCTATATTAAAGCAGAGGTATGGATTTGCTAGTGTACTGAATACAATGCTAGAAAACAAATGAGAAATATACAGGCACCACAAAGTAATCACCAAACTTGCAAGAAAACTACATTTAATAGAATTACAAATATAAATAATATGAAAGTTTATAGACTACAAATAAAAAAAAAATCATTGAATTGAAAAGTCAAATTTTTATCATCAAAATGCAAGAAAACAAAAAGAAATGGCAATTATGAATCATCAAACTTAAAAAAGAAAAAAAAAAAGAATTACTATCCGTACAAAAAAAAACATCATTTGATAGAAAGTGTACGATTCAAATTTGATGAAAACAGTCACTTACCAGAAGTAAAAGCTCAAATAGTTTAATCTGGTTTCAGGATGTATGAACATGTAAACAACATTCTTTTTAAGTAAACCATACTGTTTGTAACGTTCTGTTGATAAACGGGTTGTAGTGTTACAAACAGTACATATTAATGGTTTACTTAATTATTCTATGTTCATATAAGAAGTAGGACAGACTGTATTCATTGGTACTGTACTGTGATTGTGCCTAAATTAATAAATAAACTAGAAATTGCAAATTGCAAGTGAAGTGCTGCGAAGTACAACTGCATATAAATGTTCTTCGAACAAAATTATTTATGCAAGTCAAGTGAAAATAATGAATAATAAAACTATAACAAATAATATAAAAACAACTATAGGTCTAATAATGAATTATTGTGATGGTAAATAGACAATGTTAGCTATCAAAGAGCGACATTGTTTTTCATTGGGACCTTCGTCTTCAAGGAGGCCTATACCATCCTAGCTAGTCTAGGCCTAGAGTAGGATAAGGCTAGCGCGACATGCGGACGTCGGTACGAGTAGGTTAGTCTACAAACGTCGCCTAAAGTAATTGATTTTACCCTGCAGAACGAAAGAAGGAAACTCCGCTTTTCAGTCATCTTAGGCAATCGTTTTTTGACAAACAATGACCTTTCAGAGGTCAAATTGCTGTCAAGAATATGAATTGACTGCTTCGCAGCAAATAGAAATGACATGCTGTTGCCTTCCCATCCCATGGCTCCTGGGTTAATCTGCAGCAGGGGTTTTCTCACGACTAAATCAGCTCCAGTCCCTAACCTTCATAAAGTCTACAAGCCTTTATTCTATCCTCTAATTGTGAGTTAATTGCTGTTGGAAGTGAAACTACTAACTTACTGGTATTAAAATATTTTTAATTAATAATATACTAAGGCCTAATAAAGTTACAGTAACCTAATTGTTTAACCTAGTTTATATATTATTTACTGTGATTTCCAATTTGCAACCTACAAGCTTATCTAGAACCATAGGTCCACTATATGTTTGAGCATATCAGTCAGTTGTACATCAGAGAAAATCGAGGGGGGAAGGGGTTATATCTGCACATTTGTTGAATAGATGTGAAAAAAAATATAATATTTCAGCACTGCTTTATTTTACATCTATTTTATATCAAATCAATGTCGCTTAAAAGAATGTTATTTTAACAATATTTCTTTTCTGTTGTAAAAATAATTTCAAATAACACAATTCAGTCATAGGTTAGATTCCCACCAAAGACCTAGTATTACTACTAGGGTCAGGAGCTAACCGTTAGCACCCATGTGAGAAAGCCCAATGGGTCAGCATTAGCCATTACAAGGATCTAGATACACTAATGGTTAGCAAGCTCTATTGGTCAAGCTCTTTTCTATCATTAACCAATCACAACTACACATTTCCAATTTTCAGTTTCCTACTGGCCAGTGATCCCACTATCTTGTTATCTTATACCTGATTCACACGTGAAGTTAAATTTAACAAAAAGTAACAAATTGTAACCGAGCGATCTCCCGAGTTATTTCTACCGAGATAAAAAGCATGCACACGCGTCTTTAAGGTAATGCCAAGGTCGTGTAAAATTTACTCAGTGTTTATTCAATGAATCATTTTTCCCCTACTGCAA